CATCATACATACATACACACGCACACACATACAGACATACAAACCGACACACAAAGTTAGCGCTTTATATAATAGAAGGATTACTGTCACCAGTCTGGTGTTTTCGTGAGCTAATGCTTTCAAGAATTGTAGAACGATGTATGTTGTATACTTGAGTTGTAATTTTAAGGTCTGAAGAAGCTGTTAATACAGCGAAAGCTTGCCAATAAAGCTAATGAGAATGAGTCCTCAATACTAAATCCTCGAAGAAGATCTCTCACCGTTAGGTTGGCAGGAGCTTTGTGACCCTAGTGGTCCATATGGACTCACGCGACCAGTTTGGTGTGGCCCGTCGGCGGGCCACGCAGTCGTCAACGGGTTAACGAATTATAATATCCATGGGAACATCACAAAGTGCTGGAGAAATTAATGTGTAAGCTGTGTAAGTGTTTGGAATTTATAGTACGTGAATTGCTTTGTTGTATTGTATAGAGAAATATCAGATGCATAAAACGCTTTATGCTGTCCTGAGAATAAGCGTCCAGTACACAAAGGATAGTCTACCTCCATTTACCACCCTTTGATCTTTTGTTGCCTTTTTTACTTTTGCCGCTTTTTCCTTTCTTGCGAGAATCTTTCGTATTAGTGCCAGAGGTCGACTTTGATGTAGTGGTACGATCGCTGCTAGTTGTTCCACGTTTTCCACTTTTGCCAGAACTTTTGGTGCTCTTACTCTTGCTCTTTCTGCTACTTGGCGATCTCTTTGCTTTGCCTTTCCTCTTTCGGGGTTTGCCCGATTTTGCTGATCTTCCTGATTTTTGTGACTTTTTACTTTTGCCGCTTTTCCCACTCTTGCCGCCGGCCGATCTTGTGCTTTGTCCACTATTTCTCTTACGGCGTTTGCCAGTTAACATCAAGCAATAAAGTAGCAGCGGAACCATGATTATGATCAAGATGGCTGCTATAACACAGAGGATGATGAAGAGTGCCCTGAAACAATGAGTTTGAGTGATTTCAAGTTCTTACAAATTTCCGTATGGGCTTATGTGCAGGTTTTTTGGGGGGGGGGGGTGGGGGGTAGGAGCGGCGAAAAATATATTTTGCTGTTGATGTACCTTGCCAACATTTATTCCAACAGTATGACGCCGTTAGTGGAGGTCCTACGGCAGAATATTCTTGAGATTTCCCTCATGAGTAAAAGCAAGCCATGGTAAACTGCCTTCACCGTCTTCAGAATATCGCGCTTATGTCCTTACTGGTCTGGGTGGGGGGGGGGGGACATTCAAGACTGGAACCATGGTAGGTGACACTAATACTAATCCTAGGAGTGGTAGGAAACGCCGAGGGAACACAAATGACTTTCCTGCCACGTCCTCCCCCAGAATCCCTTTCCTCCCTAAGGCTTAGTCCCAATCACATCACTCACTCACTTGAATGCTCCTCCCAACGACATGAGCGCCCGGAATATAAATCCGCCGTCGCCGCCGTGCTCAAAGGGGCTTACCGTAATTGCCATAGCCTGGCACCTAATTCTTTCAATCGATGCAATTGGTGAAGTGTTTTTTCAGAGACAGTAGCTTGGGGTAAGATCCTCATCCTACCAGATAACGTCCTAACGGTTCGTGATCTAATGGGAACCCCACTGAGCTCGAACTTCACATCATGCTCCCGTGGCAGATTCTTCTGATGCATCGCTGCTTGTGTGAATGGCCACCACAAAGCCATTCAACAGGTTTGAATGCTTT